GGACCTCTGGCAGGAGCTCCTCCTCCGTATCCTCCAGCTGGACCATCGTCCCGCTGGTCAAAGGGGTTTTGACGACCACCGTATCTATGCTCGTCTGTCAGTATTCCGCGTTCGGAGAGGTCGTACTCGTCGTCGTGTGTCCCGTCGGCTCCATGGGAGAGAGAAACATACCCGTACTGCGCCATTATGTTAGTTTTCTTCGACGGATATCGGTGGCAGGAAGAACGGTCGGGTCAATTAGGTTAGGGGAGGTAGGATGGATGAAAGGGTAAAAAGAAAGACGTCAATCGTCAACAAGGAAGAGCAGTCGAAATGGGCAAATGCAACGCAACCAGGCTGAAGCAAGTATAATGATGTGCAAAGAAGGTTGGTGATCGCAGGAAGTCAAAGTTTGCGATGTTGCGGCTTTGCGAAGAGTGTGCGGACAAGGCAACGGGAACGGGATCGGGAACGGGTGGACTTTCTCGACTTCGAGAAGGGAAGGACAACGCAGCAACGTGCGATTGACAAGAGGACGACAGGACGTAATGCAACGTTGGTAGGGCAGGGCAGCGTGCAGAGTGAGGGTTGAACAAGGCGAGGACGGGCGGGCGAAACACCGGAAGTGCGAGGGTTGGGGTGAAACACTGACACTCATGTTGCTTCTGCGAAGCGCGAAGGCTTCTTCCTTGCGCGACGATGATGCGAGGTTGGTAGACGCTCAGGGGCGAATGCAATGTATTGTAGTATTGCTTTGTTGGATGAACGTCGGGGTGGTCTCGCGCGCGATGGCTTTGGTAGGTAGGAAGATGTGTAAGGCCTTTTGATTTGATGTTTTGTTGATTGTGGCAGAAAAAGAAGCAAGTTGAGTACGGGTAGAAAGGGCGAAGGAGAAGAAGGGGGGGGCGGCGGCGGATGAGATGAATTGGCGTTGTGGTTGTAGCGTCGAAAGTGACGGTGTGGTCCAGGTCCAAGTCCAGGTCCAGGTACGACTTTCACACAGAGTCGCTCTCAGGCTTGGACGACAGAAGTCTCAGGCTCGTTTTTTCTGGGTCAATGGTCGTCGACTGGGGTGGCGATGAAGCGAGACGAGGCGAATGGGCCACAATCCACAATTGCACAGGGCCTTGGACGCAGGAACGTGGGCGTTAAGCGTGTGGCTTGAAGCGCTTCTTTGTAGCAGAAATTCGAATTGTCTGTTCGGGACGGGGGCGCGATGCTTGGGGTGCCCCTGGCTTGCGGAACGATCGCCGTTTAGGTAGCTTTCTGGCTCCAGTAGGAGAGATGATTGGAGGGGCCCCGGCTTATTGGCAACAACCGCTCTACGGAGTAGAGAGCTTGTGTGCGTGAGTGTGCTCAGTTGTTTTTTTATTTAAACTGGGTTGACGAAAGGGCCGTTCCTTTTTTAGTGTTTTTCTCGCCTGGGGTGAGTGTGTGTCTGTGAGATTATAATTTCGTCGTTCGTCAACGGCGTCGTCGACTCAGAGTCGGATGAGTAAGCTACAATATACACTCTTCCGCAAGAATGAGTGAGCGATGAGAGTGAGAGTGAGAATGAGATTTGAGTGTGAGTGTATTCGTGGATGGGCGGGCTTGGCGAGGTACCTGCATGCGACGAAAAAGGTCCCAATCGAGGCAGGGGCCGACGATGCAACGCGAGGGAAAGGGGGGGACGTCGTTGTCTGTCACTCTCTCACCCACTGTTGGCTGTGGTGACACTGGTGAGGTGAGAAAACCTGAAAAAAACGCTGTTTTCAGGGCTGTGTGAGACTACCTCGATGGTGTGTGAGAATGTGAGAACGTGAGTGAGCCTGGGCTGTCTCGACTCAGGCGGGTGCGGTCAGCGGCAGGTGATTGGTCGAGGAGTGTCGAGGACTGGACCCTGAAGCTTGGACTTTTGCCTTCTCTTCTTCGGGTGCGCTGTAACTGTAACAAGCGGCGGGCGATGAATGGAGGCGAATAAACTTGAGGCGCTGGCGGGAGATGGCCCAATGCCGGCGTCCTAAGATTAATGCGACTTTCTTCAAGATTGTCTGATGTTGGTGGTATTGGCTCGATGGATGCTTCGATCAAGTGTTCGCTGGCCGGTCGGTGCTGCTGACTGAAGCAATACCTCCTTTTTTCACCCTTCTTGTTCTGGAATTGGCTTCCAACGTGCAACTTGCTCCTTAATGCTTGCAAAGTGTCGCTGACTGTTCGTTCGTGCCACTGTCGGGACTCTCCAAAAAAGGCTAACCTTGAATTTGGTATGTTGCCTCTTCTGATGATGCGGCGGGCCTCGTCCTGGTGGCTTGTAACGACCCGTTCAGAGGCGATTACGATGGAGGTGTCGAAGGCGAAGAGGTCGACAGGGATGTTGACGACGGGAATCGTGAGCCAATCGAAATGGTTCCCTCAAAGTTCAAGAGAGTCCGCAAATGTGTCTCTTGTCTCCTCTTTCTCTTGGTAGTGGTGGTGGCAGTGGTTTCAACTGCACCCAGCTCGACGGCGTTTCGTTGGCTGGTAAGAATAGAAGCAGCCGAAGCCAGATAGGTAGCGGCAGGCTTAGCTACTATAGCTAAACCTCACAGTCGCTGCTCTTCGTCGTGCGTGGCGTCGTCAGTTTGTGAGGTTGCAGCGTAAAGGTTGCGAAATGCCAATCAATCGTTCGACGATCCAGATCTCTCCACTCGTTTGGGAACCGGACACCTCGTGTTTCTTTCGCTGCCGTCTTCCCGTTTCTCGTTTTCCCGCTTTTTCTGTTCTGTCTCCGCGAACACGGGATTTTCTTGTGGGTTGCAGTCGAATGAACCTGCTGGAGCAGCAATGTCGATCAATTCCACACAGCAGCCGTTCTGAACCTGTCGCTAGGGTCACAGGCAATTGTGTCTGCGGCTGGTCGAAGCAATGACGCCGATGATCGAGTTTAGTGGTGTTTAGGTACTTTTTTGGTGCGATGACGCCTGTGAGGAGGTCGATGCGCCTTTCGTACGGATGATGAGGTATCAAAAACAAGCAACACCAAGCAATAGAATTGGAGAATTGCGAGGAAAAGTTCACGACCACGACCGCGAACCGGTAAACGGGGACTTCAGCCTCTTAAACAACCAATCCATACAAGCTCCCCAATCATCCCATCGCCCATCAACTCTAGGGAATTATCGATCCTTCCGGCCACTTTCAACACCACCCCGCTCGCTCGCTTCTCAGCTTACGGTCTCGGAAGCGCGAAACTAACACATGCAACTGCAAGCCTCTTTCCCCTCCCTCTCCCCTTCCTGTCTACGGCTGAGCTGTTAAGTCTCGCCTAGCGAGGGAGAAAGGAAAACGGGCTTCGGACTGCCTCGGGCTACCTACTCATTCACCTCAATTTTTGCTTGCGGATCTGCGGCGTGTAATCGTGTCAGGAACACTCACTCAACCCAAAGCTGGCCCATCCCCCCGGCAAGGCCTCATCTTCCTTCGCCCCAATTAGACTCGGTTCCATGCAAGCCGTAAGCTCGCCATCAGGCTATCAGCAGGCTGGTTAGTTCAGCTTACAACCAGCCCACTTTCCTCAAAGCCTTCTCATTCCTTCAAGGAATCAAGGAAAACCACTATCGGCGAGCAGTAGGGAAAACATAGCTGCCTAACAGCTTACTATGGAGAATTCCAGCAAGAACAACTTTGGCAAAGTGCCAAGACGCAATCCACCGCCTCAAACAGAGACATGATATCCATGAGTTATAGACACAGAGAAAGAGGGGAATAACAAGCCTCACTCAGCTCGCCAAGGAACCCAGCTGTAGGAAACCCTCCCAAGCAAGCAATCTACTTAGTTTACACTTTTCGGCAAACCCCATCGTGTTGCCATCAACACAGCCTTCTCCTGCGATCCGTAAGCCATCCCGCCGCCGGCTCATTTTCTCTGGACCAATCCGCATTCTACAGCACCTTCAGCCCCAGGATGACCGTCCTCCGTCCTCCCTTGGTCCTTTTTCGGTTGATCAACCCCCCCAACTAGAGTCTAGTCGAGATCTGGCTTCCGCAAGAAACTCTCCTCACCGTCATCAACGGGGAATATCCTTCTCACTCCATCACGGGCCGTCCAGAATATCATAAGGTCAGAAAGCCATTACTTCTTCCAGTCATTTCTTGGCCTCACAAGCAAATAACCATATCGCGCGGGGTTCATATCCAAAGACAAACCTGGACATCACTCGGCAACCTTGCCGAACGACAGCTTGGAATAGAAACCCCCTCCTCAAGTTGAACACCAAGCTTTTAGCCCTTCACATTCCTGCAGCGACGCCGACCTAGCCTGAAGAGTCGCTGCGCTGGCACTTACGGTAAGTAACACAAGCTGCCACGGATGACCAAAGGATCCGCGATGCGTTCCGCTTTGGGCGGAAGCTGACACCGCACCCACAACCACAAATCCACCGCCTCTGCCTCCCTTAGCGCCGCACCGCCAGCCGGTTCCAGGAAGACCGTAGGGCTGTGCTACCGAACGGCCCCAGGATTGTCCCTCTTTCTCTCGCTGAAGTCTCAGTACCGGTATCCGCACCTACATCATCCCGAATCGGGCGGGGGTGGAAGGGGAGGGGGAGAGGGAAATCGAGACAAACGGCGGCCCTCCCTTCCGCTTCTTCGGTCCGCTCAAGATTCATGCTTTCGTTCGCTCGTCAGCAACATCAGACCTCGAGGATTTATGCATACCTACCTACTGATGTCTCCCCCTCCCCAGGCATTACTCATCCAGCATTGAAGCCATCTGGTCACCTGGCTTCTGGGCCCGTGTCTTTGACCTCCGGCACTTGGGACGGAGCTGTCAATGATCTCCATTCTAGAGCTACCAGAAACTGAAGAAGCTTCTTTGCTTAATATCTCTACCTCTGCTTTAGGAAATGATATGAAACCTGCGTCTAAGCCATCAAAACTCCTCTTGTCACGCCCGAATCTTCCGACCTTTCGTCCAGCTACTACCCATGTAGTCGATACAGAACAGAGTCTTTCCGTCTCCTTCCCTGGTATGAACTCATTGCTAACGCCATTACCCTCCATCATACCACTGCATAGGCCGAAACATAGCTTACGCTACTGTCTCCTGGCCGCTGGATCAATTCGCTACGGTCGTATTGGATGAACGTGAACCGGTGGTCGCCCAGTTCCTCAAGTGCCGCCATCGTCACCCCGATCGGGTGCCTTCCGCACACTGTATTCTTGGTCTGCTTGATGCTATCACAGAACTCGCTGTGCTTCCCGGTCTTGATGGCCTCGATCGCCAAGTCATCCACCATCTTGATTGTCTCGTGAATGGGCGGCCCGTCGGGCGTGGGGTCGAATCTGGAGAGCTTCTTCTTGCTGTTGAGTGTCCCGTCCGGGCAGTAGGGCTGATAATCGAAACGCCAGCCCCAGTGACAAAAGTCTGAGCTGACGATGAATGCGTTCTCCGGGTCCTTGACGTACTCGGCAAGCCACTTGCCCACCTCCTTCTCTTCTGCCTTGTTGTTGTCGCCGATCAGGATCGGTACGACGGGCGGAAAGTTCTCGGGCGAGCCAAAGGTTTGTTCCAGCCGGATCCAGAGGTACGGCAGGTGCATCTCCAACGAGTGTTCCGCGTTGTCATATTTTCTCGGAATCGCAGGGATTTCAAGGTCTTCGAAGAGTTGAGATGTGACCTTCTCGTCCACTTTGAGGCTCCCCCAAGGTGTACCATACTTCTCATACTCGCTGACAGCGCAGCCTACTAAGTAGAAGGTATGAGAGGGCCCGAGAATGAATATACGTTTCGCTTTGCTGAGGTCGAGGGCCTTGTAGGCCCAGGCTGCCGTGGCACCTGAGTAATCGTATCCGGCGTGGCTATCAAGGAATACTAGTTTAGCAGATATGTACTTGCTTATCGATCGACATTATAAGAAGAAGACGGTGTAAGCTGAACTCACGGGGCAATGATGACTCGAGCGCTAGGGACCGGTAGTTCGGTTCCGTCGATTTGATCGGGCACATCGGAAAGAAATCCATCGAGATGCTCCCTGAGTTCCCTGGGATCGCCTAGGTACCAGGAGCCTGCCTTGCCAGGAGAGCGGATGTCTGCTTCTCCCGACTCCATTGTGCGATGTGATGTCTGCTGAGAGCTACGAGCGAGCGAACCTTCGTAAAGCGTAAGAACAAAAGATCTTTGGACAAGGCTACTTGTCAGGTTGAGAATGTAAGCATGGAAATGAGAGAGAGTTCAAGAGCTAAGGGTGATAAGGTGACGTGCCTACTGCCCCGCACTCATGGTAGCTCCAGCGAGCTTCGTGCCTACCTACCTCCACGGGCAACGGCAATCAGCTCCTGAGGGGCCGGCGAGGGGTAGGTTTCTCCACCCTGGTGCATGATCCGGCCCCATCTCTAGCGTCCGTACGGGTACCCCCGGGTACCCGGGTCAGAAAGAGCCGGGTGCAAACAACATGCTTCCTTCCCGTATTTATTTATTTCTTTCTTTCTTTTAACAGTCGTCTTACATCAACATAAGTTCATCGTGGGGAACTTATGTTCATGATTCAACCCAGCTGCCTGGCATGACTGGTCTCGGCCGATCAACAAGAGCCCAGAAATCGGCAGCGAATGCCTCGAACTCTGGCGCCCACCAAAGCCTCCAGTCGTCGAGTCGCGACCCATAACTCAAGCCGATAACGCGCACGGGAATCCAGTAAAGGTCATTCCCCGAATGCTCTCGGTCTGCCGCTCTCATCCACGACTCTCTCCTCTTGAGTGGGTTGCGCACATGTCTTCGCGAGGCCACAATGGCTTCGGCGCCAAACGCCCCTCTAAGGTCAGCAGCGGTGGCGGAATCCAGCGTTCGCATCTCATCTATACCGTATTGTAACAGATCGATGCCGGCGTCTCGTATGGCCCTCAGCCACTGTCGTAAGACCCTTCGAAAGACATCGTCCCACTCATCCCATGGAACTATGGGCGAGATGCGGCAGAGGGTCCCGCCGATGACTGAGAGTAACGGCGTGCCTGTCCAGACTGGAACCCGGTACCCGTCCCAAGGAACGATGGTCTCAACTCTGTGCAAGTGTATTCGATCCGCGGCTCTGAGAGTCTCGCTGACCGAGTGTCTCCATGTGTCGTTGTACGGGTGGAAACGAGGCATGGTCCTTCTCCTCTTTTCCTTAGATTCTTCTTCGTCATCTTCATCCTCTGATGCTTGGTCGTTCTCTTCCTCACAACGAAGATGCTCGCCGTAAGACATCTCGTCCGCAAACCTTTTCCCCATGGCGATGGCGTCAGAGTGAACTAGTGAAAATCCGACCTCCGCCGAGCCGCTAATCTCCTCCGCTGTTATAAGCACTCTTTCGTCTTCTCTCAGCAGGTGCCTGTAGGTATCAAGGCTAAGCACTATGAACGCTCCCAATCGAACGGCCTCTGCGCGGTCTCGCAACGGAAGTTGGTGATAGCCCGGGAGAAACTTATTCTGGAAGATGCGCAGCCAGTCGTCGCTATAGGAGTTTTCGTTGTTGAAGTCAAACATACGCTCTATGTTGAGGGTCGGTACGTTAGCACTGCGGGACTGAAAAAGAGAAACGAGACTGAGATGGTTGTCGTTGGACTGGTATGCTAAGTTTCTACGGGACTCGACCAAACTCCCGAGCGGACTTCTGTCTAAGCTAATGCTCATTAGCGGCAGCTACACTTGGGGGACAATCGGGCTTACTTGTTTGACCCGCCACCATCATCTATAAGATCTTCGAGGCCAAGGTCTAGAAGCGTCCGGCATACTTCGACTTGCTCTCTGAAAGTAGCATACTGCAACGCAACGTTAACTTTCCAAAGGACGTTCAAGGCAGGGGCTTCAGAACTAACATATAGTAGAGACCCGCCGTTTTCGTCTCTATCGAGCGGCGATGCGTCCCCTTTACTGAACATGGCCATCATGCTTGTCACATTGCCCCTCCCCACGGCCACAAAGATGTCGCTATCTGTCGGCCTGACGCTGAATGAGCGCAGACTCTGCTGCCACCCGCCAGTCATACTCCAACTGATCTGTATCTGCCACACAGCTCGGGATATCCAAGCTGGGAACTGGACAGATAGACCCCATTCGCTCTGTTCTCTCGAGCAAACGGTCGCGAGCTGGCCCCTCGCAGTGGGTTGATACGACGGTAGTTTCGCTCCCATCCAGGCCGCTTTTGACCTGACAATGACATACTTTGGACTTTTTTCCTCTTTCTCGCGGCTATTTTCCGGCGCTTGAAGTTGTTTCGCCAATTTCTCTAGTTGTTCTGACACATCGTGCGATACCTTCTGCGCAATTCTCTCCTCGGTCACCTCATGTAGCTTCCTCTGACTTTTCACTACCTTCGCGGCCATATTTTCGGCTATTCTATCATGAGATGCTTGTATCATCGCCCTGTAATAGGAAGAAAGTGAGCAAATGTTCTCGGATCTCGAATCCGACTTCTTCCAGCCGCCGTTGACTAACCTCTCGTAAGACCCAACACACATAAGAACCATCCCAACCGCCGAATCCAGCCTCCGCTCCAACTTGACCACATCATCACGCTTCAACCCAGCCCACGCAAGTCTCATCTTCCGTTTCGCACGGCCATGAAGACTCGCTTTCAGTGGTTTATGCGTAGCAGTCTTTAGCTTCTCGACCATATCCTTGAGCGCGTGGTGCGCCTTGGTGGCGTATGCAATGCATGCCCTCGCGTGCCGAGCCGGTACTTGGAGACTCGGATCCGGACCGCCGTAGTCGTCTTCGGAGCTAGAGATCATGGTGAACATGTCTTCCAGGACGGGACCCAAGGCTTCGAGGCGGTCGACGGCATCTTGGATGTCTACGGGGAGATCTTCGATCGAGTGCCAGAGGTGGACGGCCTTGGAGATGCCTATGCACAGCTGGCCCAGGGCTATGCCGCTGGCAGCAGCACCAATGGCCTCCATGAAGACACAGAATGTAACGTCCGCACGTACTGTCTAGCTTCTTCAATAAGACATGAGGAAAGTGATCTAGGGAATTTCCCATCTATGCAAATATTGATAGCTGCAAGTAAGGATGACACGAAAGACGAAGGACACATGAAGAAAGGAAAGCCTTTCGAAAGTGTCTGCAACTGCTCGAGGAAGAGAAAAAGAATCGGCTATCCAACACTGATCAACCGAGACCAGGGGATGGAGAGGGCTCCCATCCTACGCCTCTGCCATAGCCCTGCGGCACAGTGACGGGTGCGGGACGGCCCTGCTGCCTCGGCGGCAAACCTGCATATGTCGACAGGGGCGATGGCCACTCAAAGCCGGCTTAAGATCCGCAAACCGGCCGGGCCCAAGACCCAACCAACAGGATCTGAAGGCATGGGAAGTCAAACACCAACACTTATCTAGTCAATGATTTTCTTACACCGAGAAATCACTGCTTGTATAAAGTCACAATAGCCTTAGGTATCATATTGCTGTCGAGTACACGAAAAGGAGAGCCTGAAACGTGTGATGCAGAAGCGAACTAGGCCGAAGCGTTCTCTGAGGTTGTCAAGTGTTTACTTGTACTTAGATATGTTCCCAGTCCCTACGTCGCTCAGCCCGTCGCATCTTAATCACAATTCCGCGGTATTTTGTATGCTCGTCCAACTCATTCTCTGTTCAGGCACGAACTTAGGACATAGCAATGGTAGTGTTTAACTACTTCATGTGTTTGTCATGCCATGTGGTTTCCCTTCAAATTAGGATTGTGTTCTCTTTGATGGCTGAAGCTAGTAAAGCCGGGGAGTTTTCCATTGTTGTATTCGGAGCGGTGCTTCTATCTAATGATATTCAGACCATATCAACGGCATGGGCTCCTCGTCTAACCATTCCCTTGCTATTTTCTGCTCCAGATGGTATTCGTAATAATAATAATCGAACTCATCTACCCAGCTACCAGGGACCTTCACGTCGAGATCCACCCGATGGACCATTGCCCAAAATTCACCTACATAATGCTCGTATTCGCTGACCCACCAAAACCTCCAATCATCTTTCGATTTTCCATATGTAATGCCAAGGAGACGAAGCCGAAGCAGAAGGTGAGAAGTTCCGTGATTCACTCCAAGTGTGTAATGCCATTTTCTTCGAGTAGTTGTAAGACCTTCATCGTGAAGCAGTCTCTCTTTGCGCCCATAGTCTAAGAGATCAATTCCATTCAAAGCCAAAACATCCAGCCAAGCTGATATCCCCCTCTGTAGAAGTCGAAAACCTGAGCCCCATCGGACGATTGGCGAACGTGAAGAATCAAAGAACCAATAAGGGGCCTTGTCAATTAGAAATGAGAAGGCGGTTTGACTTTTGGTAGTTGCATGGCAGGGGAATTCGGCTTCCTCAAGATGGCAAAGGCCTGCGGGGTCAAGCTCGAGGCAGGTTCTGAGAAGTTCGCACCATTGTATCCGATACGCCTCCACTGAGTCGATTTTGGACCACTTAATCGCAGTCTGACGGACCATGCCAAAAGCCAACGATTGAAAGAGGGAGCAATAACCCGCCGATCTTGATGACACGAGAGCATCAATGGTGAGGTTTTCGGTCTCCGGCAGAAGGGAACGCAATTCATCGGAGGATAATTGACCATATGGGGCTCCCCAAACTATTGTCCGGAAATGCTGCAGTCTTTTACTAAATGGAAAAGATTGGTATCGACGGCCTGCATATTTCAACAAGATTCGAAACCCTGCGATCGTTCTGCTACTTCCAAGATAAATGTCAAAAGCTTCAGGGCCTTCTAGAAGATCACCCAGGCCATATTTCGACATCTCGACAAGCGCTGCATGTGAATTCTCATAGTTGACTTCTTCATGAAAGGAGAACCATGTTAACGCGTTGAATACCCATGGATAGCTATCAAATCGTCAGAGGATTACACCTTCGGCGAGTTAGGGAAAAGAGAAGGTTATCTTTTACCTGCGATTATAGCTTGAAGAGTTCTCCAGCACACACGATCCAAGACCACATTCTAGTAGTTTTTTGAGGATTCTCAGAGAACTGTGACTAAACGCACACTGCCAAGCACGTCAAGCTCAGAATCTTCGTCTTATCCAGGAGGATGAAAGCAAGCGAAAGGCATACCTCAAGTAAAGTTGATCCATCCCCTTTTCGAACGAATGGTGACATCTTTTGATTATCCAACTGTTTGAAGAATGCGGAACAGTCGTCTTGTCTAATTCTCTCATACAATTCAAGGCTAAAATCTTCCACCACTTCGTAAGATCTGAGGCTCAGTTGCCAGCCACATAGGCTTTTCTGCGCCAGGACGGAGTATACTAATCCCGCAAGCCAACTAGGTGGCTGCGCGTGCAGTTTATAGCCGACGTCTGCTTTCCAAGATAGGCCGATTCTGCCAATCATGGTTCGTCTGTGGGAGAAGTTCGCCATTGCTGGCGCTCTAGCAACGAGGGATTGGCTGGTGTTTGTGCCGCAGTCAATCGAGGTGTCCTCAGTTTGACCTCGACTGGCAACTTGCCCATGAGACGTCTGAGTGGACTTGGTATCAGACGACTGCTGTAATTGAACCATAAGAGAGTATGACATCAGTGATCTACATGAATAATGGTCAGCTTCATGGTATGATGACACATGAAAGGAATAACATACGTCAAATACTGCTCGCGAGCCAGCCTGAATAGCTCCAACGCCAAATTCAGCTTTGAATCCAAAGCAGAAAGGTCTTCCTTTCGAAGAACAGCCTTTGTAGACGCTAACTTCCTCTTGAACCTTCGTCGATCTGTGACCTGGGTGTACAGCTGATCGACCATCTCCTGGAGGTCCTTTAACACAGACCGGGTTCTGGCGATGTACTTTTGCAAGAGAGCACTGTTCCAAGCTCGTTGGGGCAAGGGGCTGTTGGCAGCCTGGCTCTCTGTCTCCTGAAGAAAGTCTTCAAAGTCCCTGAGCCGCTCGGCCTTCTCAAGCAGCGCATCTGGGACATGTTTGATCTCTTTCCACAGGTTGACGAGCTTGATCGAGGCTCCTGCGACTTTCCCTGTCAATTCGACGACAGCGATGACGCTTGAAGCTACCCCGAGGGCTTCGGCCATCGCGAGTGATGCCTCTGTTTCTGAGAAATTTGTTGGTTGTGTGAAACAGTAGCGAGTTTTGGCTGTTGAGTCGTGAGAGGAGAAGAAAGAGAAAAATTGGTAAAAGGTTGGGCTGGGGGTGAGAACGCAATGGCAAGAAATGAGGGGAACATCCGAGGGGCTATGATCTTCGTGTTTATGGGGCTGTGCCGTAACTATTGGTTGGAGCTGGGCGGTTATCCTATGCGGCCGGTTGGTCTGGATGCTGCTCATGTTGGTTTGCCCGTTGGTTGCCTGCATGATGGCTAAAGCTGACTGGCGGTGGTTCGGGATACATGCAGAGCATACCTTGTCATGCTATGCGCACGAGAAATCGCTTGCAGTACGGATAATCCAAGAAAATTTCTACCGTAGGCAATGTAAGGTCAGGTAGGTTGACGTTACCTTTGGCGCCCGGACCGACTTCCCGTGGAGTGCCGCTTCATCCAAAAGTACCCCGGACTCGGGTACTCCACAGCGGCCCGGGTGGATACCCCCGCATGATACTATCGGCGTGAGTCACCCCGCACTTGAGCCCGAAAACGGCATCTCTTCGGCCTTGCCGCGCCAGCTCATTTTCCTCAAATACCTTGGCATTTAACATCCGATCCCGTCCTATACCGAAGTCTCATCTTGTAACGAGTACTGATACAGAAGTCAGTTCCTGTGATAATCAGGCAGAATTACATTGAATGTCTGTCCCAGCCCAACCATGGAAATCGCCACAGAGAGTTCCCAAATCGACAGCCCAGTCAACACGCCGTCAAATATAATCGCAACAACATACCACTCTGTAATCGAATCCACAACATACAAAAATCTTCCAGCAGTCATCAAAAGCTTCACCTTTCCCGACAACCCAAGAACCCACCGCCGCTGGCGCAAAGAAGTCGAAGCTCTCAACCTCGCCAGAGGTCACGTACGTACCATTTACACCTACCTACCTACCCACCATACACCCATACCTTCCCGCTTCCACCTCCTCAAAGCATAGCCTACTTCCACCCAAACTCACTTACATTCCAACTTACACTCCCAAACAGCCAAACACATCCCGAATCCTCCACTCCTCCCCCTCCCCACCAACAATTACCCTCCGCCACGAAGCCGGCCTCAGCCTAGAAAGATACATCAACCCAAAAACCTCAATCTGCACCCTCTCCCACTCCGACGCCCTCGCAATCTGGTCCCAAATCGCGTCAGCCCTATCTCACCTGCACTCAACCTGCAACATAATCCACGACGACGTCAAACCAGAAAACATAATCTTCTTCTCCCCCCCTCTCCACTCTACTCAAAGAGAAGAACACCCACAACCCCACGCCGTCCTCCTCGACTTCGGCGCCGCCCTCCCCCTCCCCTCGTCATCAACCTCCCCCTCCCCCTCCCTCAACATCTGGTCCCCCTCCGGCACACCCCCCTACGCACCCCCCGAATTCCTCCACCGGCACAAATCCTACGCCTCCGATATCTGGGGACTAGGCGTCACCCTCCTCTTCTGCTTCGGATACGTCCCTCTACCCACGGGCTCCTGGATCCTGCCCCACGTATTTGAAGACAAAGCCGTCAAGCAAGAAATGGAGGCGTGGTTGGATGAGATCGAGGAGTTGAGGACGCCGTTGAGCGGTAGTAGGGATGCTGAGAAAGTTTTGCTTGGGAGGATGTTGGAGAGGGATCCGGCGGTGAGGATCGGGAGTAGTGAGATTGTAAGGCTTCTTAGGTCGCGATGGTAGGAGGAAGTGAGTCGCGATGAGGGCGAAGAACAAGATAAGACCTGAATATATCATCCTCACGATACATCGATGAATACATCGCCATAAACCACACAACCCGCTCGAGTCACTCCACGGCACGCACCACCGCCCCTCACACTCACTCACATCCATCCACCCATCCGCCCACACAAAGCACACCGACCCAACCCTCCGGAACCCCCCATCCCAGAAATCCAAATCCATTCTTTTCATCCCCAACTCTAAAACCCCCCTTCCTACATATTCGCACTCACACACCCCGACTCGAAAAGGCAGGCCCAATCCCAGAGTACCCTTCACGATCCACCCCAGCACAGCCCTGCAACATCCAAACCTCACACGCCAAGCCCCAGATCTCGGAAAACTCTAATAAACAAAAAGAGAAAAAAATCACCCGCATACTTACATATGTACACCATACTCTGTTCACCTTACAACACCCAATGCCCCCCCCCCCCCTGCCGCAGGCGTTGACGAGAACCCCTAATCCATGCTCACCGGATCAGACTCCGAACTTCACCCCCCCCCCCCCCATCCCCCTCCCTCTCAAATTCATCATCCCATCCACGGCACGCTCGGATACCCAACCCTCCACCATCAACTAAAAAAGTCTAGATCTGATCCAACACAAACTTTCACTCGGTTTCGCTTCGTTTCCTTGGGTGGACAGACAATCAGACATGCCATGGGAAAAAAAACATCGAGACAAAAGAAATAACGACAGCGCCTCCCAAGGACCCTACACCTTCACACCTAGCAAATCCAGGGGACCGTAACACATCTCAAAAACAAGAAATGATAAAGAGGAAAGAACTTCATTGCTATCAAGTTTCGATTTCGATTTCCTGTCATTATCGACTAGAATTGTACTAAAATAAAAGAACAAACCTGGGCTCGTAAGCAGCAGGCAGACAGAATCTCATCAAGAAACCCCTCGACTCCCGTGCCCCCCAATTCTATCGGTTTCCGAATATGTATAACCACAAACCACGTCGCTCACATTTTTGTGTTTTCAGCAGTTCCGGTTCTTCCCATTGCTTCGTCAAAATCCAACCCATCCCTATACGCCGATCGAAATGCCAAGATGCAACGTGACCTGTTCGCGTTCCCCTCTCCCTCCCCAGAGCTCCCCAATCTTTCGTCCTTCCCGATTTCTCTGTTTCCATATGTACAACCCTCTTGTGTGTTACGTTTGTAAGCATAAAAACAGTGACCGGGCGCGTCATGCACCTCGCTGTGTGGTAGTGAGTGTCTTCCCCCTTGGAAAGCACTTGAAAAAAAAGTAGGATGCTGTGAGGACTCCCCAATGTCTATGACCTCCGCTTGTGTTCTTCCTTTTCCAACTTTTCCACGTTTTCCTCCGTCAAGGAATCCCCGGCCACCACCGTCTGGAAGGATTCTCCCCGTCGCGGAAGCTTCTTTCCGCCGGCGGCCTCCATAAGCTTGCCCTGCTGTGCTTGCAAAGCAAGCTCATCAGTCTCGGAGCGCCTTATTGGCTTGATGGATTCCGCTACGTTTGGGGAGTCGAATGGTGACGGCTCATACGAGTTGTTCCTGGTAAGAGGCCTGGGTGTCACCGGATCGCCCCGACTTTCACGATCCGTCTCCTGGCGTTGCTCTCGTTCGCGGCTCGAAGGCGCCACGGCTTCTGTTGAGTCGGGAGGCGTAGGATCTGGGTGATCATGTGCTACGCCAGGGATATCGGCGTTGCTGCAGTGCGCAGCGGTGTCTGAGCAATCAGACATGGACCCATCTGATTCCCTGTATGTTGTTTGTTGCGACCTCTTCATCAAGCTCCATCGGACAAGCATCCTTTCCAACGTCTTGCTCTTGACTGGCTTGGCAAGATAATCGTCCATTCCTGCTCGGGTGCACTTCTCCTTGTCGCCTTGAATCGCCGATGCCGTCATCGCCACAATTGGTACATCTTGTACGTAGGCCTTGTACGGTAGGTGGTGGCGCAGGAGATGCGTACACTTGTAGCCATCAATGACTGGCATTTGGACGTCCATCAGTATGATATCCGGCTTGCTGTGCTTGCCTTGTTGGGCTGCCGCCATGTATTCGAGGGCGTCTTTTCCGTTCCATGCTGCTGTCACCGTAAAGCCAAGTTTCATAATCGTCTTGGTTGCAATTTGCTGGTTAATCGCACTGGGAAATGGTCAGCATAGACCGTAACGTGGCCAATAGAAATCAACACTCACTTATCCTCGACGACAAGGACGCGGATTTTGGCACGTTCAGCATGTGGCAACAACTCCTCGTCCGAAGCCGGCGGTGTCCGCACCGAGAGTCGTCGGGATGGGGATTTGTGTTTGTCGGTTAGGAATTGCGAGGACTCTCCAGAGGCGGGCGGCGTGTTCAGAAGCTGTTCAAACTCGGAACTGTGGCAAGAGACGCTCATTTCAGACTGCAGCCTGTCCGGAAGAGAACCAATCTCGACAAGCGGTGCCCTTTGGTTTTGGGGCTTGCTGAAGGGAACCCAGAATGTTGCCACTGTTCCGTTGCCCAGGGCGGATTCTAGCGTCATTTCTCCATGCATCAACTCTAGAAGGTTCTTGCAAATCGTCAGACCCAAGCCCGTGCCACCAAACTTTCTCGCTGTCGAAGCATCCCCCTGGCTGAAGGGTTGGAATAGCTTCTTCCGTACCTCCTCCTCGATTCCGATACCGCTATCCTCAACGATGAATTTGACGACAATGCTGTCCGACGTCTCCTTCTCCTTCTGCACCGAAAACTTGACGTAACCTTGGTTGGTGAATTTGATACTGTTAGTCAAAAGATTCGTAATGATCTGGCGTACACGACCGGGGTCACCAATGACAACCAGATCCCTCTCGATTTCTTTCGATATGTCGGATCGGAAGTCCAGATTCTTTCGCTCCGCAGCAAAACTCAACATCTTACTGACGTCCGTGACAATGACTGAGAGGGAAAACTGAACTTCTTCGATATCGAGACGTCCGGATTCGACCTTTGAGAAATCGAGGATATCGTTGATGACCGTCAAGAGAGCATTCGCCGACCTCTGGATATTTTCGACGTATTCGGTCTGTTCGCCGTCAAGTTCCATATCCCTCAACAACTCGGCCATTCCGATGACGCCAGTAATAGGAGTTCGGATCTCGTGTGACATCTATCAACTGATTAGTCCCTGCTTTCTTGGACTGCCATACCGCACTTTACTTACGTTGGCGAGGAACTGGCTCTTGAGCCTGTTTGCTTCCTTTGCGGCCGCCTCGTTCGCCATCGCCTGCTTCTTCTCACGAGATTCCTCTTCCAAATCTTCAGCCTTTTCCTTTAGCTCACTCACGTCCATAATGACTCCGATGACGCCTTCGATGCGTGTCTCGTTGCTCACGATAGCATCCTTCGTCTTTTTGCCGAGAATAGGCAAGAATCTCGTCCGGTACCAGTGTCCATCCATGCCGTGCTCCGCCACCTCCTCCGTCTTTCCGCCTGCCAAGATATCTTCGACGGGGCGGAGGAATTTGGGGCGTTCCCCAGTCTTGAGCTGTGGGTTGAGTCGGTTGAAGACCTCGTACATGTTTTGGCCGAGGAACCAGGTCGATTGGTTTGCGGCGCTATCATCCCCATTACTGTCCCACATCAACGCACCTTCCAACATGGTGAGTTTCAGGTTAGTGTCGACAGTAAAGATGGTGACCTGAGAATGCGCAAGAACGCTCAGTAGCTGCTGTCGGGTACTCCTAGCAGCGAGTTTGGCCTCGATGCTTTCGTTGACGTCGGTGCAAGTTCCAAACCACTTTTCTATCTCGCCTGTCTCTTTGTTTCTCTGTGGTAGAGCTCTGCCCAACATCCACCTCCATTCGCCGGTCTTGCTGCGGCATCGGTACTCCGTCACGTAAGGGTTGCCGGTTTCCAAAGAATGCTTCCATCGCCTAGCGCTTTCCGGTATATCGTCCGGGTGAAATGGATGCTTCCATCCCAAGCCCATTGACTCCTCGGGAGTGAGGCCCGTGTATGAGTACCACCTAGTGTTGAAAAAGTCGTGATAACCATCTGGTTTAGTCGTCCAGACAAGCTGGGGCATGGTATCGCATATCAGCTTGAAGCGTTCCTCGTCTCTCTCCTTGATCTCGACGATTTCTTCCTTCATCTTGGTGATATCTCTGAAGGTGACGACGCCGGCCAGAAATTCTCCGGTGCTGTCATCTCGGATGGCCTCCCCGAGTGCGTCGTAGACAATCTTGTTATTCATATGGTCAATCATACCAACGCGCATGTTGGTGAAAGGCGTCTCTGTTCTGAGCAGTACCGAAATGGGATACTCGCTCACATCCAACTCTCTCTCAAAGTCCTGGTCCCAAACTGTCCAACCCGGTAGCAAATCGAACCCGTCTGATGATTTTTCCAGGTCGCTTTCTTGCCGTAATAGTATTCGAGCGGCGCGATTCGGGAATGTCACGCTGCCATCCTTCCACATCGCAAGGATGGGCATTTCCGTATTGTCGAGCAAGGCGTCTTTCATAAGAATCATCTTCTGCAGAATCGAGGGCGAGCTCGCATGGACGGCAGTGGAAGGCGGACCCATCGGCGGGAACGGACTCGATGAGAGCGACACAGCGCTCGGGCTAACGCGGAAAGATGGTGAGCTCGAGTCGTGGCTGGAACTGACGGAGGGTGGGTTCGAGTTGGATATCGTCTTGCGGTCTGCTTGCTCCAGCATATTGGGTCGCGCGACCGCCTTGCGGCTCAGTGCTGACTGAGAAGGCGGGGAGTTTGTGCTGGTGAAAGTCAGGGTGAAGTAGACTTGGTGATCCTCAATCTCCCATATCGTCACAATCATTTTGGCGTAAACTTGATGATCCGACCCCCAACCCTTGACCCGGGGGTCAAATCCCGGCTTCCCAAACTCTTTGCGGGAGATAATGACATCCACCACGGCATCTTTAACCAAGCATGGGCCCGTTGGATGGTCCGGTAATGGCGGGGCGAGCGAATCCGGGGTCGGCGTCGCCTCTCCACCCTGACCTTGGCCGAACATATCCGCGGCGTCCTTTGACGTCTGATTTGCGCCCATTTCGAGAACGAGGGAATCCAAAAACGCCTCCCATCCCACCCAAACTGGACGACCTTCCTGGATCATATCGATACCAACCTGTGATAAGGACTGCCCTCTCAACCTCTCAGCAATGTACGAGTTGTCTTCGGCTGAGTCGTTTGTCATTCCAAGCATCCTCCCCATAGCTTCGTTGGCGAGGACCACAGTCTTGAGATTATTCAGTACCAGTATCGGAACTGGCAAATACTGCATGGCGGAAAATGCGAGCTGCCCGGGCGTGATAAAAGGCATCGATATGCGAAAGGGACTAGCTGAATGTGACCGTTTGCCTTCACCGGACCCCATTTTGAAATTCTCGCGAAAGAAGCGGCCGCTGCTGGTCGTACTCGGGGCGCCATCGCTGCGTATAGGTCCGGAATCTTCTGGTGGTGACGGTGATGCGTCAAAGTTGAAACCGCTCTCTCCGGTAGAAGGCCGTGATTCCGGGGGACTGGGTTTGTGGGATGGTACTGCAGTTTTGAGAGGTGAAACTACTGGACCGCTGTCTCGAGCATGACTGCTGGTGATAACAGGTTCGGGAGGTGGCATTTCGGCGGTGGCCCACGCATGGGAAGCTGCGGCTCGCAGGTGAACCTCGGTGCAGAAGCGTGGTATAGGTTAGGTTAGGTTTACAGAGTTGAAATTCGGACCGCGGGTGGGTGATGAAGTTGCAACCCCCGTCGTCAGGTGCCCACGGAGCCGGAGGAGTTGGAAGCAGGTTTGTCGGTGTGAGCAAGTCAGGGAGTGACAAAGACGTAACAAGCGGCGACGGCGGCGGCGGCAGAATGCTAGAGAATCGTGGGGGATCAGAAGGCGGAGCAGAGCATGGCGCGGCGCCTTGTCTGCGTGGAGGGCGTGCGTTCTGGACCGCCGGAGTAAGGACCCGTCTCCGGATGGACGCTTCGCTGGGGAATGTGCTCTAATTGTGAGCAGTCGAGGCGCAGTTCGGCACTGAGGGACGATGAAGAAAAAGCTCAAGCGCCCTGCTTCTTCTTCTTCGTGTTGTCCGTTAGCTCACAAGCCTTCCCAATTTCGTGCGGGAAGAAAAGCGGCAGCTACAAGCAGTAGTAGTGGCAGTGGCAAGAGGTAGAAGCGACAACGGCGGCTGGGGCTGGCCGGGCTTGATCAAGGCGCAAACAGGGCCAGGAAGCTACCTAGATAACGAGGAACTGGGGCACCGGGCAAGGCGAAGGAAAATAGGATATTGGGGCGCAGGTGTAGAGATTCCCGCTCGGTTTGAATTCGACTGCAAACGGCGGCTTCGAAAAAGAGGCGGCAGAGATGAAGGTCGGAGGTGGGGAAGAATGGTGGAAGTGCAACAACAAGCAATAGCGGCCGGGGCTTACTAAGATGGGGCCTGAGATAGAGGGTGTGAGATTGAGTGTACATACGTGTGTGCGTGAGTGTGTGTGTGTGTGTGTGTGTGTGTCTCGTGTAGTAAGGTAGGTAGTCTCGGATGGATAGATGAGCGGACAAGAGACAGAGAATGAGATGGTCGGATGGCGGCTTGGATTCCGGAAGTGGTGTGGGGAGGTCTAGAACATAGCACAGAAGCTGGTGAGAAAGGGCTAATGAAGCTGCTTTGAAACGCCACAGTGAGATGGGAATGGGAATGGCAAATGAAGATACAAAACGTAAGTAATTAACAAAAGTATATAGAAAAGCAGGTGCGAAGTGACGACGAGTTGAGGTTGAGGAAGCGAAGCGAGGGGAACAATTGCCGCTCGTCAGCTACAGACGCTAGTGTGCAGTAGTTTGCAGGAGTCGTGTGCGCCCTGGGTCGTCTTGGCTCCGAAGGGGGCACACGGAATTGGAAGAGAGAGAGAAAGAGCAAAAGCGAGTAGTACCTTAGGTAGGTGCAGATACTGGAACTAGGGTAGGTATCTGGATGACGGAGGGAGGGGTTCTGGGGAAGGAGAAACAACTAAAGAAGGGACGGGGGGAGGGGGATTCAAGCTCACTCACGATGGATGGACACTGCTTGGACAGAGAGAATAGATGCGGAGAGATGAGCAGAGCAGACCTGAAGAGATCGGATAGACAAACAAACGGTACAGTAGGATGGAAGACGGGAATTCAATGGGAAAAGACAGGAACCGAGCTGACTGTAGGTACGACATGGGCAGTGAATGGAAGCGTGTGTATCCCGTAGGTAGTACTTCGTAGTCAGGATTGGCAGGAAAGGACAAGGGATGGGGGCCGTCATAGTCCAAACTTTGTTTGAGTGAATATGAATGGTTCCCCTTACCCTGCCCAGTGGTGTCGTCGGTGATCAAGCATCAAGACGCAGGAGGAGTGGTGGTCGAACCCATGCAACGTCTGGGGGGGGCCTTGTAAGGCAGGTAGCATACGCAGTAGGTAGCTTAATAGTGCTTAGTTGCTTAGGCAGGTATCCGTAAGGTAACTCGGGGGGGGGGGGGGGAGAACATGGAGGAACATGGGCACCAAAGCTGAGGCCCGGGGGAACAAACCCGTAAGCTACAGTAAGATGGGACCGCGACCGGGACTGGGGGGGATGAAAGGGGAGCATTATCCCAAGAGGTGGCAGCAGTGGGATGAGCGGTGGGACAAATTGGCCCAGAACCGGACTGGACCTGAGTTGTGTGGATCGATGATTGAGCTCGTGGGTTTTGTTCATGAACGGACCGGGACAGTACCTACCTACCTACCTGCTCTAGACAATGAAGTAGTGACCACCTGCTTTACACAGGTACGGATAGAAGCACACGAGGACAGACGAGCAGACCAAAACAGAGGAGGGGAAAGGTTCAAGGAGGGGACAAACATGGAGGCAAATTCGGACTGGGCAATGTTTCTGCTGGATGCGAATCATACCTTACCTTGGAGCCCCCCCCCCCCCCCTCGCCGCCTCTTCCTCGCTCTCGTCTTCTAGGTACTTAGTGACTGCTGCCGTTGGGCATCCCAAGTCTCACGAGTTCTGTGCCGGCGGGCGGGGAAGCGGGAGGCGACTAATCAGAAAAACTCTCACTGCCCGTTCCGCTGTTGGACTGATTCCAATGCGCTTGGCCGGCGTTCCAGACAGCGTGCGCGACAAGTTAGGTGCTCAGGGAGAGAAGCGATCGTCATGCTGTGACAGCGGCGGTGGCCAGACGCCAGAGGGGGGAACGAACGGGACTGTGGGATTGGATGCGAGAAACGGGGTGCACCTTAACATACCTACCTTAGGTACGGACGGGACTTGAACGGTACGAGAACTTGTGCCCTTCTTTGCTGCATATCATGTCACGCATCCTAGGTTACTCTCGGTTTGCTGGATATCCTCGTACCCAGACCCGCCAGGTACAGAGATACTTCTGACCTCCAGCAGGCAGGCTTTTTATTTGGCCACGAGGTGGATGGGAAAGTGGATGGGGGATGCACAAGTTCAATCAGGAAACCATCGAAATCTGATTCCGACAACAGGTACGTATCTCCAGGTATCTTACTTAATCCTGGCTACTAAGTACCCGCTAGGTACCTCACCACCGCAATACGCAGTACAAGGCCATCTCGATGAACGGGGACAGGCACAGTGAGCGGTCTGCCCACCCATGACGCCCTCCATGTCCACTATCCTCCAGTGGGCCGTCCCCAACACCTGCCCGCTGGGATTCTGGACATGGCGGTACCTATCCATCGCATACGGAGTACGCAGTAGTCGAGTGGGTAGGCAAGGCACTTCGCAGGTACAGAGTGGATCGCTCGCTCGCCCTGCGGTCCGCCCACAGCTGAGGCACCGGCCATGGCAGCGATGCTCCTTTCTGCCCAGCCCGTCAAACTCGTCATGCCCTGTCGCTCTGCCTTCTTTTCCCACTTCTTGCTGATTAAAATCGCCCGACATTTCCAACATTCAACTGCTCTCCGTGAGGGATTCCCCTTGGACAAGGAGCTGCTCGAGACACCAGGCACCGCGAGCGCCGACCTGCTTCCATGTTTCAACTCTGTCCAGACCCTTCCCGCGTGGGGATCTTCCCGTTCGTCTCTGCGGCCCAATCCATGCCATTCGTCCGTCAATCACATACCTCATCCGAGTGAGGCCGCAGATTATCATTGCCCTTTTTTTTTTTCGTGGTTTGGTACTCCGTGCCTTCCAAGTACTCGCCAAATGTCGGTTTTCGTGTAACATCAGAGTACACCCACATTATGCACTAAACCGCCTCACATCTTCTGCACCTCCCCCTTCCATGCGCATGGCACCATCTCCTCCCGTCTTGTTGCCGGCGTACGCCCACAAACATCCACAATGTTAATCAAGCCCGGACGACGGATTGAGGCTCCGGCCCGGTTCGTGTACGGCGTCGTCGATGTGTTGTTCAGCTGCTTCTCCACCGTAGAGAGGCCAATATCGGACTGTGATGGATATCATAATCCACTGCTGCTCTGCTGTCGTGCTTCCCAAACCGAGGCCTCCAAATGCGACAGAACTACGCGCCGGACCAATATTCGCCTTGCTGCTGCTGCGTGGGCCGTAAAACCACGACGATGACGGCAGAAGAGGATCCCTCAACGGACGAGGCAAACCTCGAATATGGGACATGATGGGGTCCGGATGGGTCAACTCGAAAGAGCTAGCAAGAATGGAATATTGCCCCAAGTGAAGTAAAGATAGGCGCCCCATGCCGCTGTAGAGAAGGACCCTGACCTACTGTGTGAGAGAGGCACAGCACACACCACCACCACCACCACAACCACCTGCTTCCTGGTCGACCTTCGGGACATTCTTTTCTGTGAGCGACATTCTCGTGTGCTGATCCCTTCTTTGTCTTGCTACGATCCGCGTGTCTGGCCGGGTCCGTCAGGTGTGTCGCTCGGCACCCCCAACCGTCGAGAAATTGGTTCAGCCACTGGTTACTTCCGCCAATGTCTCAGTCTTTTCTTAATTGCCAAAACAGAATGTTGCGCTTGTTCCTGTCAGTCTCAGTCTGATTTCTAGAACTGATCCACGGTCAAATTAAGTCGACTCTCATAATCGAGGTACGTCAGGCCCTTCGTCCCTTCGCATTGGGGTTCGACCAGGGGCCAGAAGTTGGTGAACAGGCATCGACAGCTGATGGAAAACGTCTGGCGCTAGCTAAAGCCTGGGGATTCAGGTCCGTGTACCAATTCGTAGACCCTGAGGGAGACGCAGCTTGGTAGCGAGCTTGCAGTTAAGCGTGGTCTTGCTCATCAACCTTGTCGCAAGCTGATCTCTTTCTCGCCAATAATCGACTGGTGGCAGATCGATTGTCGAGGCTGTCGCGCCGTTGAAACTCCTTTCGCTGTTCCCATCTGCCGCAGAAATATGAGGCCATAATGACAGACAAGGAGCTGACTGCCTCAACCCTCTCTATACCCGTCGCGTACCCGGGCGATCCCGTCAGTTCGGTTTGACGCGTGTGACGTTCGCCTGTCCTCGTCCATACATCGAATTGTAGACTGTAGTTGGGTGTCCTCTGTTGAGAAGCGATCATGCTGTGTAGCCGGCGATGCTCTCCAATTGCATATTCGAGGCCATTCGGTCTTCGCTTCATCCCCCGTGGATGCGGCACAGATCATCGTTCGGTGAGTCTTTTTCCCGCATTGGCTCATCCACTCATAAGCTCTCGATACTTGGAAGTGATGTCTACTACGCTGGATTCGGATAAACGCAAGGACTTGGGCTTTGACTATCTCCGACTGGCGTTGTCGGTGACAAATTTGCCCTGCGTCTAGACCTCACGGTCTCCCCATCGATCGTAGATCTACAACTCGAACGGGTCTAGCCCGCAGGCACTCAAGACGCCTAGACCGGGATGGCCACAGACTCGACCAGGGCCCTGGTCATCTTCTCCATATCGGTGCGCCTTCAGTGCCACCAGAGACTCTAAAGCTGCGCGGTACAACGCAGATCATCTGACCCTGCCCTTGGTGGTGAGAACCAATCATCCTGGTGCAGCACCACCCTTGTTTTTGACAGAGCTTTGCTGCCCGAGCGTGTCTGCATGCTTGCCCTGCCCGTTGTTGACGTCATCCTGGCATAAGCAGTCTTGATTGGTCGTCGGCCTCTCTCCCGAATCCTCAGAACGCAACCAAACGTCGTTCAACCTCGTAGACAGAAGCAGAGTAGCTCGAGGGTAGCTCGAGGGTAGCTCGTTCGTGCCACTGAAAGATTCCATATCATGGCGCATCTTTGTCTTGACATGTGCTGGGTGCATGCCACCCGTGTGCAATCCACACAATGACTCGATTCCTCCCCGTTTACTTTGCTTCTAAGTTGTCAGCCATGTCAGCGTACCTAGCACTGGGTCACAATAGGTTGTGGGTTGCGTCTCGTTTTTCGATGTCGCGGGATATTATGTCATTCCGTCTCGATTTCGTAACGCAGCCTTACATCTGTCGCTCAAAGCAACAGACGACATGATGCAGTACAGGCATAGCAAAATCCCTTCGCTTGCAAGGGTATCATCGGCCATTTCGTCATTTGGACCCTGAGGATCTATGGAAAGGACCCCTTCACGTGCTCATGTGCCCTCCTCGTTCCATTGCCGCCGGAGTTCATCCATGTAATTCGCCTCTTCCCCGCTCGCTCAGACTGAATTGTCTTTCATCACTCCACACGTCGAACATGTCCACCACTGCCTTTCCATCATCGTCCCACAATACGAACATTGCCAGGTTAGGGGTTTCACCGGCTCGGGGCGTTGATTGGTGCTACCAGGCTTTCTACTGCTACTGGCTCTGGGCGGGCTACTTGTGAGATCGATAGTGGCAGGCTGTGTCGTGCTCTTCGTCGTTGCGGCCATTGATGCCCTTTGGCGTTCGCGTTCGCGCTTTTCAGCATTTGGTGTCCACACTTGACGCTGAGGATCCTGACCTCGTTCTGTGCCGCACGCATCGCAGCACAAAAAACTTGAAGGATTATGGAGGGTACAGACTCCGCATGTCCAGCCCCGTTGCGGAGCTGGTTGGGGCACCGGCGCAGACACAACTGGTGGCCGAGTCTCTGGCCTTGGTATCGATGGAGGTCTCGTTCCTGGTCCTGGGATCGGCGGAGGAACACTACTGCTCCTGTTTTCGTTATCTCCCATGACGGATCCTCCACCGTTACCAGTAGGGTTTTGCGCAGTTGGCGGAATAAAGTAACCACCGTACCGTTGGCGCTCTTCTTCTTGTACCAGTTCCCAGAGAGCTTGCGCAATTGCAGCTTCATTAGCCGCGTCTTCTTCGGCCTGCGTACGGAAGCCGTTCTTCGTAGCTGTCTCGGAGATTTGTTGAATCTCCCTATCATTGTGATTCGTATTACCGCATCCCTGCAGCGTGGTGTTTCTGCGCTCTATTGCGCCCACGATGGTTCGCCGGATATCTGAACCGATGCTGGGTCCAGAGCCACCAAGGCGCTGGCCTGACCCCTTTGTCAAGGTGCGACGCTTTTCAGCTGATGCTCTAGCAAGTCGTCTAGCTTCATGCATAGGTATCCGGCCGCCTCCCAGGCGATGTCCATCTGATAAGAATCCTTCACCCGTATATCCCTTTCGAATAAGCGACTCGTGTTCGTCTCGAAGTTGGTTCCATAGCGCATGGAAGTTGCCATCGTGTGGTCCAAATACAATGTGTGAAAGTTCGTGAAGCATCGTATCAACTACGTGCTCTATAGGTAGGAAGAGTGATCGGTCATTGGGATAACGTAAACGGACGAGGATTCTTTGACCTCTGTTGATATTCAAACCTGAATACACCATAATTAGTAGATTGATGGAACCTTCAGGAGATTGACATACCGAGGAGGTTTGCTTGATCTGGATAAAACTCAGCTAGCTCTCGCACCTTCCACCCTCTAACTCGCATGATGGGCTTGACCAAGGAGGCCACCTTCTTCAGCGTTTGGAGAGCATCGGGAGCGCGCGGAAAATCCGGTAAATGTGAGAATGATAGAATAAGAGCATCATGTTCTGGCATTTTATCGTCGTGTATCGTTGTATGTAGTCATGTAGTCGTTGCGTGGTTATAAATGCGAAAGAGGGAAGTAATCAAGACCCTAAATCATCACTAGGAAGGAAAAGAGAGAAACGAAAAAAACGGCAGGAAGTCAACGAGTGACGGGGTATTGAAGAAAATCGCAGGTAGGAGCGACTCATAGATGGAGTTTAGTAGAACAACGTGGAAAGGAAGTCATTCACATCGTAAGCAGTGGCTGACACGTACGAAGACGCGTAAGGGGACCTGATGCCTTTCGGTGATAGGGGGGGCAATGGTCGGGCGGTGAGTCTTTGTGAGTTTTTGGACTGTCACTGCCTCTTGGCAAATTTCAGAAATTCAAGCAGGCAAGTGGGGTAGCGGGGTATGTTGTGGTGACTAAGCAGCATCCTGGCAGTGCCTGGCTCGGGAATCTACTTCCACCTTGAGCTTTCCACCTTTTGAAGATTTGGGCAGCTGTCAAGCCACCATTCATTTCACCTTACCCATGAACACATACACACGCGCACATTCTCTCATCGCTTCTTCGATCCCTGAATCATCGGAATTCCGATGAAATGGTATTGGCTAGTCAACCGAGAGCTTGATGATGGATGGCCAATACCTGGCAAGATGAATGTGTCCCAACAGGATCTCGGACGGAAAATCAAGGCAACGACGCCTTGGAGAGATTAGCTTGCAGAGATCGACCTCGCCAAGTGATGGCGCTATCCTTCGCTCGGTTCCTATACCAATACGTTTGACGATGCCTCTTTGATACGCCTTATCAACGGGCTGACTTCTGCAAGTATCTCTAGTCGCAAACTCAAGCCGGGCTTATAAGCCATCGGAACCCGGCTGTCCCGACGTCGAGGAACGGACAACTTCTCCTACTGTCCGATCAGTATTGCATCAACCGGCTTTTTTCCTTCGGAACAAGCATTGTCTCTCCGTGATGTCAAATACTCACAACCGTCGCACATGTCCGGGGATTCGGCCGACGACTCAAGTGGAGTCGTCCAAGTCACAACAGCTGTCAACAGAAGGATGGAGAGCGGTTTCAGTTTTGCATGAATCTCGTCACAGCTATGCCACACCTTCTCCGACTCCCTTGTTCTGCTCGTCTCCGTATTAGACTTTGACCGTCAAGATACGTCGCAATCTATTTCTCCCGCTCTTTTCATCGCATGTCTCTGAGCAACTTCAGATGATTGATCATTAATTTTTCGCTTTCCCACATTACGGATGCCCCCGTTCAACATCACAAGTAAAGTCTTGACCTAGCTGGATGCGCTGCGGCTACAAACAGGGGTCTGGGAACCCAACAAATCGTCACGGGAGTTCGGAATCGCGACTTGGTTGACCTTGCGGACAGGGGTCGCATGCCTGACTTACAGTGTTTCGGAAGCCAAGCATACGGCCATAGAGGCCGCCTCACGAGTCCGGCGTACAGTGTCCGCGAGGAACCACGCTCTGAGTTGAGCTGAATGATCGACTGTCGCAGGTCATCTACGGATGCGCCTCTTTGGGGGACTGTCGACTCGTCGATGGCAGGCAGACTCGAACGATTCAGCCCCTAGCGCCTACATCAGGTCCTCGTCGCCAGGCCCGGAAAGTGGAATTTCCTCCTTCTGTCTCGCGATTCGTCATTGCCTGGATGGCGATCCAACTAGTGACTAGGTATTCGAGCATTTCGAAACGGCTGAGAAGGTCGATCTATGCGTTGCTACAATGGGAAGCGAACTTGGCAAAAGCTTGTGTGCTTATCTCTCCAGGACGCTCCGCGCTTCCAAGCCTTTTGTTTTCCTTGTGTCACTATCTCCATACTGTTCTTCTTCTAAGATCGTTATTTGCTGAAAGCTCTGTGAGCTTCTCATCTGGCTTCACTCCTTCGCCAGACCTTTCATCTACCCCAAGTGGCCATGCGTTTCACCAAACCAGCTGCAGTGGCAGCATTCGTTCCCTTTGCTTCTCATCTAGTAGATGCGGCACCTCGAAACTTAGAAATTTCCACTCTAGGCGGCGCGGCCTTCCGAATCGAGCAGGCTCCCAATCCCGACTTTTACTATGGAAACAGGCGAGGGCCCATCGCACTAGCCAGAGCTTATTCCAAGTTCGGGCAGCAGATTCCCGACGATCTACTAGGGCTCATCGATCAAATCCTCGGAGAGCTTGGGTTGCTGAACGGAGGCAAAGGCAATGGCGGTCGTAAAGGGGGTAAGGGTGGCGGCAAAGGAAAGGGTAAGGGAGGGAAAGGAGGCAATGCTGGTGCTGGTGGTTCCAAGGGCAATGGTACAACCACCACTCCCGGAGGTGGAGGTAACAAAGGCAATGGCACGAAGACACCTCCAGGTGGTAAGTTGATATGTCGGCTTCTTGGGATTAAGCTCACAGTCCTGAAGGAGAGGTTGCGGCGATTCCCGCCGAGTTCGACAGCCAGTATCTCTGCCCTGTCCAGATCGGCACACCGCCCCAGACTATCCCGCTCAACTTCGATACCGGGTCCTCGGATCTATGGGTCTTCAGTAGCGAGACACCCATAACCCAAGTCGCGGGGCAGACAGTGTATAACATCAACGCCAGTACAAGTGCCAAAGTCCTCCAGGGTGCTTCTTGGTCGATCTCCTATGGCGACGGTAGCTCGTCCCAAGGTAATGTTTTCATGGACACTGTCACGATCGGCGGCGTGACTGTAGAGAGCCAAGCAGTTGAGTCTGCTACTCAAGTGTCTTCGTCATTTTCCCGAAACAAGAACCAGTCTGGTCTTGTCGGACTTGCCTTTGGCAACATCAACACCGTCACGCCTGCCAAGCAGAAAACCTTTTTCGAGAATGCAATGAACAATCTCGCCATGCCACTGTTCACAGCAAACCTCAAGAAGGCAGCTGGTAAGTCTCAAATTCTCACGTCAAGGCCCCTTCGGAACTATTCACTAATTTCGCAATCACAAGCTGGAAACTACAACTTTGGCTTCCTCGACTCGACAGAGTACACGGGCGACATCACCTTCGTCCCCGCCAACACGACGCAAGGCTTCTGGCAATTCACAGCCCAAGGCTTCGCCGTCGGCTCCAACGGCAGCGCGCCTACCTCGGCCCCTCACGCCGCCATCGCGGACACGGGCACGACGCTCATGCTGCTGCCCGACGCCATCGTCTCGGCGTACTACCAACGCATCGCGAGCGCAAAGTACGACGCGACCAACGGAGGCTTCGTCTTCAACTGCAAGGACACGATACCGTCCTTCACGGTCGACATGGGCAAGTACCAGGCCGTCGTCCCGGGTGACTTTATGAAGTTTGCTCCCGTCGACGGGCAGACGGTTGAGACTTCGACGACGTGCTTTGGGGGTATACAGAGCTCTGCGGGTTTGCCCTTTGCGATTTACGGGGACGTTTTCCTAAAGTCGCAGTTTGTGGTGTTTCATGGCGGGAATAAGGAGTTGGGGTTCGCGAATAAGCCCCTTTAATGAGTAAAGGTAGACAGACGCTGGACGTTATCTGTTTTTGTGATGATGCTTGAGGTGAAAGGTAGCGCAAGGCTGGATGGCTCCCAGCAGCGGCCATCATAGACGGCATGTTCATTTGCTTATTTGGTAGAACAGATTCGAAAAATAGAAAGTAATTTCTATCCTTTGGTGCCTCGGCCCCAGTGACCTGCTCATCAAGAAGGTATCCAGCCGTCTTTCTTGGAACTTCAGGCTCCCCACCCACACATTCACCACTCCCAGTGCCGCCCCCCCCCCCCCCCCCCCCCCCCCCTCCCCCCCCCCCCCCACCCACCCCCCCCCCCCCCCCCACCCCCCCCCCCCCCACTTCCCCCCCCCCCCCCCCCCCCTTTTCTCATCCCAACATTCAAGCCACCCTCACCCGGACGGTCAACCCTTCATCTACAACATTTTTCTTCATACGAATACCTGCCCCGGGGGACGCCCCGGGAACGCATTAGCCGAGCGGTAAAATACCGAGCAGAAAATTCCCCTAGGGGGGTGGGGTTTTCATAGGGTCGGGGTTCAACACCCCTTCTCCGAACTTTTAGGAGAAATTTTCTAGAGATTTTTTTCTTTTTGGGTGGCTGAATTTTGAGTGCATGGTATCAGGAGTGGATAGAAATGGTATATATGTAGTTGTTTTTGTGGTTCGAGAAAGGTTGCTGATGAAGATGGTGGTGATGGTGACGTGTGTTGTTGTTTACTGGGTTGTTGTGGTGGTTGCGAGGGAAGGCGCGCGGCGTGTGAGGTAGGTAGACAATATCGACTTCGCTCCTGCCGTGAGCAGATCTGAGGACTAAGGCGAGGAGAAATATGGCCAAGCATCTTTCGTGTATTCCACCTTTCAGGTAAATCTGGAATTTAGAATGTAAGCGATGCCTTCTCGCGCCTGGGGACCATATACCCATCTCCTTACGTTTCCTCGACCAAGTATACTGGCCCTATAGATGACCTTGATATTCCCCTAGTAAATATACCAAATATCCAAATGCTTGCGCAAAGGGAGAGATCTCTTATGAGCGATAGGGTCTTGTCCCTACCTCCTACTCCGGTTCGAGATCATGATGGAGAGCACTACTGGTGAAGTGGTTAGATACAAACTCGTCCCGATCTCCAGCATCAGCATTCGAAGGACGACTGAATACCGGAAGACAGAAGCCGTTCCCAACGTCGTGATACTCAATTCTTCCGGTTTGTTATAAGAGAGAAAACAATAGTAATTTATGTGTCTAGAACTGGGTACTTTGTTCAGCCAACAAAGGAGACGGGTATCTGGCTATTATAGATCGGTTATCCATGTTCAGCATCACGTCCAGCCACCCTTCTAGCCGTTCGATGCCCCCCACCCGGCTCCCCTCCCTCGTGTAGGTCATTTGGGTCAAGGTATCCGGACCGCAGGACTTGGAAGCAATCGCTCAAACCAGCTGTGCCACGCGCACGGGGGCTCGATGGAGACAGAGGACGCTCCTGCTTATCTGTCCATCATGCGATACTTGATCATGACGACCCTCAAGTCGTACACATCACCACTGTTTGGTGGATTCTAAAACCCTCTAATGTATCGTACAAGCCAAACAAATCACTAAGGCGGAGAAGAGTTAGACGGAAATCAAGATCGACCTACATGCGTGTGCGAAGACAGCGTTTCGGTAAAAAAAAAAAAAACTCACGATTCTTTACTTCAGGCTCAGTCTTGTATATAACGATGCATGAATAACCTACCAAATGTCCTACATCACGGTTCGCTGGCGTGACGTATCTTGGACCTGTGCTACTACACCACCGCGGCTTCGATGAATATACACCTGCCATATCAGGGTGTCTGCCTACTACTTTGCCCATTATCCTTCGCCGTCCACTGACAGGCCGACTCAGAGGAATTCGTGCAAAAAGTTTGCAAAGGACTCAACAGAGTCAGAGTAAGATCTCAGTCCCCTCTGCCATTGATCTGACATTTTCGTCTTTGATTTCGACTTCACATGGATGAACCCCCTTACCCCCCTCCTGTGCCAGGTCAGTCTATCCACGCCCACGGCAATGAAATGCCAAAACTACGGCCGGAATTTCTTAGGCAAGTCTGTATTAGTTTTACCGGAAGCGACAGGTTATTCCAAACCTCCGACGGTAGATACGCTCGTGAAAATCCGGAGCAGTCATCACGAGGAAATAAGTCACAGGATATCATGTCATATATCAAGCCAACTAGCAAGTAAAGCTGCGAGCCATTGCACACGGAGTACTCGGACGAGATTGCCTTCGCATGGAATCTGGACAGATATCCGAGTGAGCAGCTTCGCGCCGGAGGGGGGGGGGGGGCTTATTCCAACCTCGCTAACATTCATATCCCCATCTCAGATACTCTCCCGTCGTCAATCTCACGCCCCTTCAAATCCACGCCCCTTCGAATCGTAGTGCCTCATGAGACTCTGATGACTCATGCCGTGCCGGAGAATCGCCGTGACCAGCATTATACAAGAAAGGTCCAAACTACCGGCGCACGAACGCGGTTGATCTTTCATCAACTATGAGTAGGGCGACTATCATCAAGAGTAGAAGCGGACCCTGATTGCTACTGTACACTGATATAGCGAGTAGACGTCGCCTGTCCAAGGAGCAAGTATGGGGATTATATTGCCACTACTGTGTTACATCCATGTTACATCAGCTATGGCCACTGAGTGACCGATACGTCGAAACGCACGGCTGTATTGTTGATACCCAAGGTAAGGTTGCATCCTGATTATCAAGTTGAACCGTTATATTTGTAGTTTCTCTTACCTTTCGTTGGTTAAGCAGTATCCGAGGTAGAACCAACCCGAGACGCATTCAGCTCAGGCAACATGGTATCTTCAAGGACCCTGGTACTTCGCTCACTGCTCACTTGATCTGGTCCATCATTCGAATCAGCAACTCCATCTCATGGTCTACCACTGCCTTGGGACACTTGAAACTCTAATTATTGTGAACAGCAGGTTATCCGTAGTCGTTTTTGAGCTATCGGTGGATACCTGACGAACAAGGATTACTGTAAGGGGTATATCAGTCTGTTGGTATACGATATGATATGTCATGTTTCGGCAAGGGACCCTAAAGAGGGAGATATATGCAGCATGCTGTAAATTTCCATATTATTCCTTGCCCGTCTCACATGCTAATGATCTCAGGGAAATATGAAAACAACCAAGGGCGTTCTCGAGGCTGTGGTTGATAATCACATGTGAAGATGTATCTCGAGGAGATCACATGGTCTATTAGGCTGATGTCCACAAATGATGACCGTGTGAATAGGGACAATTGAGCTACATTCAGGAGTAACTCTGGAAGAAGTCAGTAAATATATCACAACCAGCCGATGGTATACTCTTGTGACTGAGTCAATGTCAAGAGTGGCGTCCGCTCTAAATTAGGTGAGCAATCACCAAGGTCTGGGACCGCAGGCGACTCGGTCAGGTGAGAGTTGAGCCGCAAACTTACTAGGGCTAGTGACAACGATTCACCGGCTACTTGGTACGCGAGCCTGTGTGTCACCTCCGCAATGGTAGCAAAGGCGGGTAACCAGTATAAGAAGTCCCGCATTTTGCAGCAACTGCCGAGGCTTGTCTTACGTTCTGAAGCAACATTCAACATCCACCCCCATTCAAAATGTGCCAGGTGACTGAGGCTGGGGGCGTGGTCCATCAAGTCGGCTAGACGCCGGGCGCCGTCCGCTTCAGAGGCCGTTCGCGCCCGCGTTGCCGCCCATTGTCACACCTCGCTGAAGCGGCTTCGGTCGGCGGGAGGTTCCCGAGTCAGTCCTAAAGCGGAATGGGGCGATATCGGAGGCTGGCCAATCCCACTGGCCGCTGGTGGAACCATCGTCTGGCGTCTGCCATCCGCCAGCCTGCCGTTCCTTCACCGTGCGGGATTTGACATCTTACTTCATCATTGCCCAATCTTCGGCGATGGGCAGATGGGCCTCAAGGTCAGCCAGTGAGCTTCTGGCCCCGGCTCTGGTCCCATCTATTCAATGGCCGGAGGAATGCAGACCGAGATAAGTGATGAGCTCGGAGGGGTGGGGACATTGAGCTCACCGGGTCCCGACGATGAGATGGATGTGGCACCCGCTGCCCGCTCCCGCCACCTCTTTTTTCATGTTGTGCAAGGACGGCAGGCGCCATGGACAAAGGTGGTTCGGTCCGATCCTGATGATGTGCTGAACAGTCGCGCTGGTTGGACTATTCCAAAAGTTCAAACCGACATTTTGAGAAGGCGAATTTCAATGTCTGGGGCGGTAGAGAATCCATAGCTGAGAGAGGTTCGGCTGTAAATGTTGATGTTGTTTTTCCTGCACATGCCATGCAGGCCGACAAGAACAGACGGCGCGACGGCTATCTGAAGCGCGAATCCCACCAGTATGTACGCACGTCTTTCGTGCATATGCCGCTAATCATAGACACACCTTGACTGTGCCAGGTCGTCGACACGGCAGGAGAGGTCTGGAAGGACGAATACAGGCATACCGTAGAAGTGGATATTTGCCGGCTGGATGGTCAGTGGTGTTTTGACGCCGGCCCTTTGTCGATGGGAATGCCGGAGTTGCAACGTTGATACACACAATAGAGGCATAGCCACGGTGTAACTGGCAAAGGGTGGCTGGCAATTCGAAATGCGACTATCAATACTGCCGCCTTTGCCAGCCAAGGCATCTCAAGAAGCAACGACGCGATGAACACAGCGTCTTTCACCCGTGATCCTTGCAACTGGCAAACTTAACAAGGAAAAGCATGTTTTGACTTGGGCCGTTGCATCGCATGGCCATCTGAGTAGACAAAAGCATTGCAAAACATGCAGCAAAACGTTGCGGCCTTCATCTCGTTCGAGGGGAAGTGCAGATGCAGCGGGATTGTGAGGTGGATGATGATTCGTGAATCAGGCCAAAAGAAAGAAAGACTCAAGTGCTAGTGTGGGGGGATGAGCGGAGACCTATCGGAAAGGGAGTTGCGGTGAGGCTGGCGGTATTTTCCGGTGAAGTCAGACTCATTGGTTGAACAAGTGGGCGAAAGGAGTGAGAAAGTGAGAGGATGGATGGACGCAGCATTCGGTTCTTGTTCGTGGGGCAAAAATCGGTGGATGTGACCGACTCACAGGCAACGCGCAGCGGATGGGATATCGTGAGTGAGTAGGAGAGGTATCGACTCTGTCGAGGGACAGCTTCAGGCTGGATTGGGGCAAGTTAGCCTAGCGAGCCCAAGCAAGGTAGATGCCGACCTCAAGTCCAATCTTGCACATCCTTGAGGATAGACCAATGGGTTGTTGAGGTATTGCGTAACGAGATAGTGCTCTGATCTCGAGTCTGTAGGTTTCCAATGAATCATATTGTTCATTGTTCTCTCTGCATTGGGCTGTTGTTGATGTCCGACTAGAGCGCGGATAATTAGAAGAGGAACCGAGCCATTGGCCCATGGCTGTGGGGGTTGACAGCCCCCGCTTGGATGCATTGGAAGTGCAGTAAAGGGTTTGGTGGTCAGTTGTTAACTTGTTGGAGACTTGCAGTTGCAGGCTGGCAGCCCGAAGCCTGAAGGTGAACCAGCGACTCAGCTAGCCGATCTTGCTACTCGGTGGGCGGAAGAGCAGGGAGCGGGCGGGCGGGACGAGACCTGACCATGAGACGAGAAGGCACAGCGTATCCGTACAGCGAAAAGTGAAGGAGACGGTGACAGGGACAGGACAGGGTCCACGTGGTGCGCATGACATGTCTTTCTCTGCCAGGCCCGGTTGGTGTTGCATCGCCAGAGTTGCTTCCCCATTGTCCTTCTCGTCATGATTTGCTCTATGGATGCGGGTGTTTTGATATCGTTCCTCGCTTCCATCAGTCAGGCAGTGAAGAGGCAGGGTTAGGCAATACGCGCAAAACGGTTGGCTGTATGGAAGGGGATGGAATCTCGTGAAGTGTAGTTTTGCGGCGACAGAGGTCATTGACTTGGGTCTCAGCTGCTGTTTGGTTTCCGAGCTTCTCCGTAGTCAAGCCGCACATGCCAAGCGGACAGGACATGGCTAGACGCCCCCTAGCCGAGACACCGAGAACAGACGTTCACACCATTCCTCGGTCGGTGAGCATATTGGCTCGTTGAAGATCATCGGCCGGGCCGCGCGACTCAATTGATGGGCTGGGCTGGGCTGGGCTTTATTGACTGGGCTGCGAATCCTGCGCGAACGCCTGGATGTCTTTGAATATCGGGCGCATCTGTTGAATCTTCGGGTCTAAGTGAGGCCATGCCAGATCGTAATGCGAGAAGTTGTCCTTGTGAATGTGTGCGTACGGATATGTGTGCATGCCTAAGACAACGGATCTTTCAGTGTCCTGGACATTTCTGCCCTGCCCTCTCCGATCCCATGCAATGGTAGTTCTACCTTGCCTTTTGACTTGGAGCTGAAGGTGTGGACACTGTCGCAGTGATGGCTGGGAGTCTGGGACGCTTCAGCAATGACCCCATAATTCTACTCGATTCAAGCATCTCGTTAAGATCTAAGGTGGATCGCGGGGGAGAAGGGTGAGCAGACAAGAACTGGCTGGCCAAGGTAACAGGTCAAGGTACGGATGCTCTGTGTGGTGGTGATACCTAGGCTGACGGTTGGTGGTAGACTGGATTAGGTGAGGTGGTCAGGTATTAAGGTAGGCGGACGAGACAAGACGAGAAAACGCCGATGGGAGAAAAAAAAAAGACTAGAGGTTCGGAGCAGAGAGCGGCGGTTTAGCGGTTTAGCGGTTTGGCGGCAAGAGCAACCGTCGTATTTCCTCTCTCACCTGCCAACCCGAGACAGGTCTCCCGTCCTCCATGCGTGCCATGGAAGCTCACCGTCGGGCAAAGTCACTTCCCTGCCAAAATGACGGCACGGAGTACCTTGAGGTCTTGGATAGGGAAGGTGTCCCCGCCACGGCGCAGCAAACTGCCCGTGGCCCATCGCTCCATCCCACTTCACACCTCGCACCTTCCCACCTTTTGCAGAATCTGGTGCGTGCGCGTGTGGAGGTGAAAGGTCACCACCCCCCAGTGACCCCCCTGGACCCTTCCTTTGACGTGCCAGGCGCTGTTTCCCCCTCCTTCCCCTCCAAGGGTTAAGGAAAAAAAAAAATTAAAACGGTGCCGGGTCAAGCGCTCCGCGAAGCCTGACAAGTGAGGTTGTCGACTTTCCATTTGCTACCTTACCTATTCCTGGATGTCAGGTAAGGTAAGGTAGGTAGGTAATGGGAAAGAACGCTGGAACAATAACTACCTCAATATGCAGTGGCTGGTACAAATGCGGGTGCGGCTTCCTTTCCGAGATGTACCAAGGTCGGGTCAGTTGAGGTGAGTTGGAAAGAGTGCACCTCAGTTCCTTCCTTCCATTAGGTTGAGTGACTGAGTCCAAGTGACTTGAAAGAAATAACATGAGGCAAAGTACCTGCCTTGGGTATATCAGCAGCCACCACGGAGACGAGGTACTTCATGAGTACATACCTTTCTCTACCTAGGTAGCCCAGAATGCAGATGCAGATGGCGATGTAGACAAACCTGAGGTGCACCATGGGGTAGCAGGTGAGGTGGGCTGGCCAGATCGAATGGAAGCTGACTTGGAGGTTAAGACTGGCACGACTAGGCTCGGCTGGGCTGTGTCGTGCGACTTACTACTGCGCACCTGCCTTTCTCTGCTCCGTACGAATGAATACCCGACGACTGCTTCCTTGAGCCCATTCTTCTCTCTCTCTCTCGTGCTCTGCCATAGTTTCTTATTCATTTCTTGTTCAACTTGCAAGTGCCTATCATCCTACATCCATCTCCCCGAAAAAACGATTGAGCCATTCAGACCTCAAAGCTTGCATTGCATTGAATCTCGCATGGACGTAGTCACCTAAGGTGCAACGGAGAGTTGAGGTGAGCGAAAACCTTGTGTGAAGAAGAAAATATGATGATGTTCACACTCATCCACGAATGGAGACTTTGGTGAAGCGTGATGCTGGAAAAGAAGAGGAACCCGGTCCTCTTGTTCTTGAGATATCCACACCTGCCAGTGCAACGACTCAGAAAACTTGAGGAAAGGACCGGGGGCCTCGACTCTGCGGGGATTTCTTTACCTTACCTACCACGCGTCTTGGCTTGTGTACTCTGTCTCTCTGTGTGTCTCGCTCTCTAACTCCCTTTCTTAGCAAGCAGAGAGTAAAGACGGACGGAAACGAAGCAGCAAACATCTTCAGATACCTTGAACCATAAGACCCGGTGAACGGAACATAGAAAGAAGGCCGACTACCTACAGAGCATCATCAAAGAACCAGAGTAAAACCGCTCAGCGTCGGCAAGCAGCAGCAACACAAGAAAAACATCAGACCGAAACCCGGACCCAGACCCGCTCGATAAAAGTCACAACCCTCACCTGGATCAATCACTCAGCACCAAAGCCCAAGCATCGAAACTCTGTGAACCCAAAATCCACAACATCCACGATCCCTGTCGCAGGGTTGTCTCGTTTCTCAGTCTCGTCCCTCTCCTTCCTACCTTGCCTTGTGCTACACCTCTGCAAGTCACTCGGTTCACCTCAGTCGACGATACTCGCTCGTTACCTACCAATAAGGGCTTTTTAACCGCCGTATCTGTTTTCCGTGTATCTCTGACTGCAAGAAACTCGGAGAGAGGTTTAGTTGTACCGGCCCGGTCAACAGATTTCCATCCATCCATCCATCCATCCATCCATCCAGACTGTAAGTATGTATGTCTCTCTTTCCACCTACGTAGGCCCAACTTCCCCCGTCCCCTTCACCCGTTCCCATCCCCATCCCCATCCCGGCCTGAACTGATCGGTACCTTGCCAGAAGTATCCATACCTCGTCGCTTTTTCTCTTCTCCCACCACAACAACAACATCCAAATCCACGCAATCGACATATTGGAGAAGGTTTTGCACCAGCCAGAGGTACCACCAGCGACCAAACCATAGTCCACTACCACCTCCACCACAACCAGCCCACCACCACCACACTACTGCGTACGGGCACTACCAGAGGTTCAGTACCACCTCACCTCCCGATCTCAATTCCCAGCGCCGTACCTTACCGGGGGTCCTGGCCCGTGCTTTCTTCGCTCTTTCCCTCTCCGGTGCTCGGTGCACGTACCCTTAAATCCTGACCGACCGACCTTATTTTTATTCGTGCACCTTGGCCTCGGCCCTCATCCTCCCACCTTCACACACCTCGAATTGAGACGGTCGTCCACCGAAACCAAGTCTGATTGTCCTTCTTTTATTCTCGACCGTCCCTGCGGTGGTTTCTTCCGGTTTCCGGGTCTCAATTGGCATCATTTGCCCTCGGCGCATTCTCTGTTTGGCTGCTCCCCGCCTCCGAGGACCCGTTTCTTTTACCCCTCACTTTTCTCTGGTCGCTCTTTCGCGTCGGTGAATCTCGGTGGGGCACCACCACACAATCTGCCCAACTTCAAAGAAAAGGCGCGACAGCCAGACAGAGCCAAGTGCGTGTGTGTATGAGAAGAGAAGGGGCGCGGGAATTCCACTAGCCACCCTCTCTTCTTCTCGAACCTCTTTTCTTCTTCTCTCTTCTCTCTCATCTTTTCCGCCACATACAATTACACCAACGTACACCGAGGATGGGTCAAGGGTAGTTGCTGCTGTGACAAAGGGAATAAGACAACACAACTTGCAAGCATGCATCCGGCTCCGAGTCTGTTAGAGGCGCCTCCGAAGAATGGCAGCGAGGAGTCTGGAAACAGACCCCAAACTGGCTCACCTTCAATGTCTCATCATGAGCTGCCTCAATCGCAACAGTCTCCGCTCCAACAACAGCAGTCATTGCCAGCGCAGCATCAACCGCAGCAGCAGCAAACGACTCCTCAGCACCAGTCCCAGCAACCTCCTCCCACCCCCGGTCAGTCGGCTTCTCCTCCGCTGAGGAAGGACACCAACTCGTCCATATCAACTCAGGCCACGGCGGCATCCGCTGCCACCAATATGTCCGTGGACACAAGCAACACATCGTACAGTGCCGACACCTCTCCTAACTTAACATCCATATTCCATGTAAAGGATGGCTCCGACGTCTCTAACCGGGTCCGCGCGAGCAGGAGGCGAACCGGTCCTTTGTCCCAGCAACAGAGAGAGAAAGCCGCACTCATCAGAAAGCTGGGCGCCTGTAATGACTGCCGCAGAAGGAGAGTTGCAGTAAGTCACCCGTGACCCCTTCACGTCTTTATTATCAAAAAGTGCTCACCCCTGCTGACAATCCTGCCCTTGCCAAGTGCCATCCTAGCCATCACAACATGACATGGGAGGATGCCGTCAGGAAATATCATAGGTCTCACAGTCCCAGCATCCAGGATATCGCCCCGTCTATGGCTGGCCAGCGGCCCCTCAGCCCAGCGCCGGCCCTGAACAACAACAATGTGAAGTCAATGTTCACGCAGGACCCCGAGGAGATGGAGATAGACTCCCCAACGCCTCCTGGTGGTCACCGGCTCAGCGAGTCTCGCATTCGCACGCCACTCCCGACCGGCCCCAGGCTCGACAAGCCTCCAATTTTGCCTGGTATTGATAGTCTTAAATCTGACTTACAGACCAATGTTTCGAGAATTCTGTCTACTCCCAGTCGGAGCCGCTACTCAAGTGCGCAGGCCTTGCTTCTGTACTGGCAGGACGACCCTGATTTCAGCGTTGGAAGCTCCGTCAAAGAACTAGGAGAAGTTTTCGACCAGTATTACCGATATACGTTTTCGATCACAACTATTCCGTCTGCTTCAGAGGCCTGCAAAAGCCCGTGGAGATGGCTCTCGCGCAAGATTACCGACTTTGTGGAGGACCGTGATCAACGGGACGTTCTAAAGATTGTCTACTACAATGGTCATTCCTACTTAGACGGCAACCGGGAAATGGTGCTCGCCAGGTGAGTACTTCTCAAGTAGCCTTCTCAGGAGGCTTGGAACCTAACGTCTTGCCAGCTCAAAAGACAAGGACAAGGCCGAGACTATCCGGTGGAGTGGTATTCAGCAGGTGCTTGAGGAGGCCTGTTCAGACACTCTGATTGTGATGGACGCCGCATTCTTTCCATCTTCCAAGATGCACCGCCAGCAAGGTGTCTTGGAACTGGTGGCTGCTGCTGTATCCGAGGAGCACTTCGATGCCCTGGATCGATGCACGTTTACCAAAGTTCTCACCGAGCACCTAAAAACACGCGCTTCACAACGATTCACGAGCCCCTTCTCTGCCGCAGAGCTTCACTCAAAACTACTGTCCAATTATCCTTCTCTCGTTCAGGATAGGAACCCTGAAAAGGAAACGATCACCAGCTTTCCGTCTCCGCTCCATATGCAAATGTCCGGAAACGCTCGACTACCCTCAATTCTTCTCGCACCTCTTAACATTGGTCCCTTGAGGACGAGCCTTCCGTTCGGTACAGAAGGTCAGCAACTGGTACTGTCATTCCGGATAGGAGACGAACCGATCGACATTGACAACTGGACCGAATGGCTGAGAATGATGCCCGAGGGTGTCAAGGATGTGAGGGTTGACGGCCCTTTTCGACCATCTAGATAGGTTTCTGGTGGACTGAGACATCCAAGAGACGGGAAGCTGGGTCACTCGAGATGGGCGTCGAAATAACCTAACGGTGCTTTGCCGCCGCATTATACGTTTTATCAATTCTCTTAGTCCTACTTCGACAAAGGACACCATCAGGGGGAAACGACGAGGCTACGGAACAGACCAGACGCTGCGTAGGTTAAAACTTCACTGTCAGGCGCCACAGTTTGAGTTACTCAATGAGTGATCAAACCGACCCGTCTCCGCCGAAACCCCTGTTCCTCTCAGAGCCCTTTGCTGGGCCTGCTTTTACGCGTTAATGACTGATTTTCACGACATTGCATCATTCATACCTCCTCGTTAGGTCTGGGAGGCGAACGGTCGGAGTCGGGAGAGTCATACATATTATTTTTCCACAGCAAACAACCGGGCGTCCTGGTCAATCTACACAGGAATTGGGAGGAGGTCCGGTATTGGGGGCGAGAGATTTCACACAGCCTAGCGAGGAGTAGAGCGTGTGTGGTATGCTCGGCGTGGGAAATATCACAGGAAAACGGGAGGGGGAGGAGCACAGGAGCCGTGGTTCTTCCAATGGCATTACATGCAGCCTGTTGATGCAGTCATGTCTTACATGGAAGGACGTTTGCATTAGTGGATATCCCCAAATTCGCCTTTTTAAAGACTACGCATCTCTCTCTTCTCTCTCACACACACTCACATTCCTCTCATGAGTTTTGCAAACAGAAGTCTTGCTTCTTCTCCAACGTCTCTGGTTTTTACCTCCCCCCCCCCCCCCCCCCCCCCCCCCCCCCTCTCCCCTTTCCCTCCCCCCCCCCCCCCCCTCCCCTCTTGTGTTTTTAGAACAAAGACTTTCTTTTCTTCCCACCCCCCTTGTTTTTTTCCCCCCCCCCCCCCCCCCCCGCCCGTGTAATGAATATGTCCGTGATACTAATGCTGACCAACTCCAGAGCAGTGTCCTGTTTTCCTGCTCTCAAGGGAGCGACGGTGATGAAGGAGAGTCCAAACATGCCCTCCTTATCCTCAGAGGAACAATGTAGTTTCATAAAAAATGAACCCAATGCCAGCCGTGATGTTCCGTAATGTTGTATCAAAGAAAAGGCCGTTAATGCGCAAAATTTCATGATGAAAACCAAAAACCTTAGATCGCCAGCACCAGCGCCGCCGCCGCCGCACTCAACACCCCAGTCGCAAAACTGACACCCGTCCTCGCGGCGGGACTATTGGCCTCAATGTTGCCAATCGCAAAGGTGGGGTTATAGTCCACCTCGCGGGTATCGAGCGTACCGTTCCAGCAGTACCGCGAGAAGCACTGCGCGCAGGCGTCGGGCACGGTCTCGCGGGAGCGCGCCATGCTGCGAGAGAGCACGGCGCAGGCTACGCAGACGGGCCACTGGGCGTCGAGGGTCGCGTTGCCCTGGGTGGCCGAGTCGTAGCCGTTTTGGATGATTGCGTCGCGCTGGTCGAGCTCGTAGCTGGGATCGAAAGTCGAGACGTTGGAGTGTGCGACATAGGGAGCGTTGGGGAGGTAAACAACCAAGGGAGGCACGCGCTGGTTGCCCGAGAGGGTGAAGTTTGAGGCGTTGCAGCCAAAGAACGTCGGGCGGCGGTTGAGGCCTAGGTTAATGAAGGTGTTTGCGTCCGGGACGGGGGGGAAGAGGGTGCCGTTTGCGATGGGCTGGGCGACGCGGTCGTAGGTTGCGCGGAGGGCTGTGCCGTTGGGCCAGTTGTAGTTTGTGTCGGCGGAGGAGTCGACGGCGAAGATGACGTCGACGGCGCGGTTGGGTTGGATCAGGGGGTGGAGGGGGATGTTTTGGAGGTCTTCGCCGCCGTCGACGAGGGAGAGCTGGGTCTGGTTTGCGTTTACGTTTGTGCGCGGGTTGTAGCCGTAAAAGGGGTTGGGCACGTATTGGGCGATGTCGTTGTTGTCCTGGTCCAGGACGTTGAGGATGGTGGTCAGGGCGGACTGGATGAAATCGGGCAGGCCGGCGGAGGAGAGGTTCTGGAGCATGAATTGGTTGAAGAGGGAGGAAGAGGTGCCCATGACGAAGCCGGCCTGGTCGAAGCCGCGGACGCAGGAGCCGTTGTCCGGGATGCGGCCGGCGGAGAAGTTGGAGGCGAGGTAGCGGAGGGGAGCGAAGCCGTAGGCCGTGTTGTCCCAGGTGCCGAGCTCAAAGGGGTTGAACTCGTAGACGGTAGCGTTGAGAGAGATGATGCGCTCGTTGGGGGCGCGGCCGTCGGCGACGAGGATAGGGAAGGGCTGCTGGCCGGACTGGAAGTCTGGCTCGTCGGCGATGGACGAGAAGGTGTAGGCCGGCCCGCCGTCAGTGGCGTTGATGAGCTGATAGGAGAGAGCGCGGCCCCAGTAGTCTGTGATGGAAACCTCGAAGCCTTGATCCTTGGTATCGACTTGCTTGGCAACATCTCTCCAGTACTCGGCTGTGTTGAGGATGGAGAGGCCGGATTCTTTGGGGCCCGAGAAGATAGACCGATCGAATTTCCAGACAGCGGATCCCTTTGAGCCGCGCTGCAGGTCGACCACGGAGGAGAAGTTGTTCGTGAAGATGGAGCCGACGAGCCATCCACCACCAGAAAGACCGGCAACGTAAGTGGCGGACTGGAGGAGGCCACCGATCTGGCCAGATGATGTCGAGTTGGGGGTCCGGCTGTCTGCGGCAGCAAGGAAGCCGGCGCCGTTCATGAGGGCCCGGTACCCACCACCTGACACGGCAAGGGCGATGTTGGGCAATTGCGATGATGATGAGCTTACACGGTCAATATAGGCACCGGCATCAAAGTTGGGAATGCTGACGCGAGTTAGGAACTCGCGCATGGGTTCGACTGTGGCGTTGCGGCGAAGGGGGAGCCATGCTGTTTCGTTCGGCGACAGGGCCGATGCGGACCGGATTGTAGGACGGGCGGACGGGCAGTCGACGATCGCGGGTGCGTAGCCTCCCGAAGGCGAGTTCGGGAGGGCGCGGGGGTCCAGGGCCTCCATGATGAGCCCGGCCGCCATTGGCTTCACGGGATCGACCGCCCACACCGGGGCAACGGCAGCTGCCACTACCAATAGGGATGAGAGCATCATTGTATGTGAATCCTCCTTTGGTCCTAGGCCTATTGGAATAGTCGAACCAGAGGCAGTGGGTTTGTAAGTGGGCGAACAGAAGGGAAGCTTGAAAGGGGGTATCAAAAAGAGGATGGGGTTGTGAAAGATATACGGATAACCCAGACTCCAAAATAGAAAAAGGATGGATCGGAAGGGATGGTAGAGATGGGCGACGGATGGACACTACTAGTAATAGGATCCAGCGATTGTCGACCTTGTGGGCATGGCCCAGCGGCTGTGCGGTGCGGCGACTTTGACGGGGATGAGGAAGCTTCGGCCTTTTTCACGGACCCGTCGAGCTAAAGAAGGTTTTCGCCTGGTGTCGGCCGGTATGACGTCGAATTGGAGAGTTTTTGAGTGTGAGCGCGGTCCTTCTTTTGGACTGAGACGTCGGGATGCCGTGGTCTTTTTTTTGCTACAAGAGGGCCCCTTGTTGGCCAATGCTTGGTTGCTAATGGAGGAGCGATGCGATTTGACGGGAGGATCAGTTCCTGCGTTATCCAAAGTGGGTGTTGGGATGAGTTGTCAATGGTGAGAGCTAGGATTAGTAGCTGAGCTCCCAATGACCGTTCCCAGACGTGACGACGTTCTGCGAGAACGAAGTGGACTTAAGGTTCGGGAGACAGGCAGATATTCAATCTCAGGGTACTCAAGCGAAAAGAGAGCGTGATCCAGCGGCTATTAAAAGGGATTGCCAACGGCGGAGCATTCCACGATACGACAGTGGAGTCTGAGTCTGTCCGTGAACCTGGACAAGGTCTTTGATTGAGGTGATCTTTGATCTGACCCTGTGTGCCGTATCCGTAAAGTTTCATGTGTGGACTGACGAATAAGAGGGAGATGAGTACTGTGTAACCCGCAGAGCCTAATAAGCTGGGCGTGCTGGGCAGCTGAGGCGGGATGAGATGAGTACGCGGAAATTGTGGCTATGGAGCGAATGGGAAGATCCGGATCACCCGGCTTGGCTAGTGATGATGTGAGGTCAGGATCCAAAGGAGTCTTAGTACTCCGTACAGAGTTGTGGTCTGGTGCCCCAAAGAGGGAATTTGTAAAAGGCAAAAAGGCAAAAAAGGCGGCCTCTTTTTCTGGGGCGATCAGAAGCCCATTGGAAACAATGTGGAGCCTTAGGGATACGCGGGTGCCGAAGATGAGAGAGGATCCGTAAAAGAGTACGATAGGGCAGAATTCGGTCCAAGATGCCGACGGGGAGATGAGAAGACAGTGAGCGCCCGGATCCGGATGATGCAAGGAGACGACAAACCCTGTGAGAGATTAGTACAAAACGAGAGAGAAGGGCGAGAGAGCACGGTAGCCCAGGGCGCGATGAGGTCAAGCGCCGCAGTGCTGAAGCGGCGGGTTCCACGGTCTCGGGTGCGGCGTTTTATGAGATAGAACCTGGTCACTCGGTGTGGCATCTCGCATGCCGCATTCTCTGTTCGTACAAATCATGTGCATCCGTAGAGGGAAAAGTACGAATACGTCGCCTTGCTGTCGTGTGCTCGTGCAAGTGTTGTGCTCGTGCCCGAACTGTCAGACTTGAGCCCTGCCTTGAGGTGGTTAGCCATCAGTCGCAAGCCTCCTGAGGCGTTTGATGCTGATTCCCCTGCCATCGTCTTCCCCAATCCGGACAATATGTGACATTTCTCCCATCCGTGCTGACCGCAATTCCTCGGCATGCCATCGTATACAATACGGCACTCTGCCTCCTGCCTCCTGCCTCCTTTCAAAGTCCCCGCCATCGAGTGGTGGGCGAATGGCAGCGACAGATTTGTGTGGGTGAGACGAGGCATGCGTCGACACAGCAGGGCCAAGAACGGTGCCTGGAATCGATCAGCGGCAACGGAAGAGGCGGAGGCTAACACGGTTGGTGTTGGTGCGATGCGTTGGC